AGTACACTCCTCAGGAGTCCTTCCGGTCCACTGCACCTTGACCATCGGAATGATCTTGCTCCTCAGCTGTTTCTCGCCACGATCGAGAATTCTGAGTGGTCCGACGGGAGTCTTTAGGTTCTCCCGAACCTCCACATCATCCGGTTGTACCACGTGCGACATATCTGCTATGTACTTCCGAAGCTGAGACACATGAAACACGTCGTGGATGTTAGTCAGGTTCGGAGGCAAGGCAAGCCGGTAGGCAACAGGTCCTACTCTACCAAGAATCTGGTATGGCCCAATATATCGCGGGCTCAGCTTCCTCACTCCGAGTTCCCGACCTACACCGGTGACAGGTGAAAGTCTCACAAACACATGCTCACCCTCACTGAACTCCAGCGGACGATGCTTAACATCATAGTAGCTCTTCTGGCGATTCTGCGTCTTCTTCAACTTTTCACGGATCATCTGGATCTGCAAGGTGGTATCCTGGACAAAGTCCAAGCCAAAAAGCTCCTTATCCCCAACCTCAGACCAACAAGTAGGAGTCTAACACCTCCTACCATACAGTGCTTCGTAGGGCGCCATGCCCAGGCTAGCATGAAAGCTGTTGTTGTAAGAAAACTCAACCAACGGAAGGTACCTATCCCATGCCGAGCCTTGCTCCACCGTGCAAGCTCGCAACATGTCCTCCAAGGTTTGGATGGTCCTCTCAGTCTGTCCATCAGTCTGAGGGTGATAGGCGGTACTCAATCTCAACTGCGTACCAAAAGCCTCCTGCAGCGCCTCCCAGAACCGAGACGTGAACTTCGGGTCCCTATCACTAATGATACTCTCGGGCACCCCGTGAAGCCTCACAATCTCGCGGACATAAAGCTTGGCCAACTGCTCTGTAGTGAAGCTCACCTTCACTGGAAGAAAATGGGCAGACTTCGTCAGTCTGTCCACAATGACCCAAATAGAGTCACAACCCGCCTGAGTCTTCGGCAATCCCACCACGAAGTCCATGGAAATACCTTCTCACTTCCACTGTGGTACTTCAAGAGGTTGAAGTTCAGCAGACGGTCTCTGATGCTCAATCTTCACCTTCTGGCAAACCAAACACTTGGACACAAAGACAGCAACATCTTTCTTCATGCCCGGCCACCAGAAGTTCTTCTTCAAGTCTTGATACATCTTAGTAGCACCAGGGTGGATAGAAAACTGACCCTTATGACCTTCTGCCATAATCTCCTCCGTCAACGGGCCTCGAGGAACTACAATCCTCTGCTGAAACAAAAGCACTCCATCCTCATTCCAAGACACACTGTCTTGGTTCTTCACATAATCCAGACACTCTCTCTGAACTTGTGCCTCTTTAATCTTTTCAAGCATCTCGTTCACAACATCAGATGCTTCCAATCCGCGAAGTACACTCTCACACGGAGCGGTCACTGCCAAGTTGCGGAACTTCTCAACCACATCAAAGTTACCAAGTAACAAACTGGATGAACTACTGGATTTCCGACTCAAAGCATCAGCTACCACATTGGCCTTGCCAGGATGATACCTTAGCTCGAAGTCGTAGTCCTTTATGAACTCCATCCATCTCCTCTGCCTCATGTTCAACTCCTTCTGGTCGAACAGGTACTTCAAACTCTTGTGGTCACTGAACACCACAAACCTCAAGCCAAAAAGATAATGCCTCCAAATCTTGAAAGCAAACACAATAGCAGCCAGCTCCAAGTCATGAGTAGGGTAGTTCTCCTCATGAGGTTTCAACTGCCTCGAAGCATAGGCAATCACTTTGCCCAACTGCATCAACACACAACCTAGCCCCTTCCCGGAGGCGTCGGTGTAAAGCTCAATCTCAAGCGCAGGATCAGGAAGGACCAACACAGTAGCAGTAGTCAGTCTCTCCTTCAACTCCTGAAAACAGACCTCACACTCGTGAGTCCACACAAATGGAGTCTCCTTCCGAGTAAGGCGAGTCAATGGCAAAACCATGGTGGAGAATCCCTTGATGAACCTCCGATAGTAACCTGCCAAACCCAGAAAGCTCCTCACTTCTGTAACTGTCTTGGGTCTCTCCCAATCCAGCACGGCCTCAATCTTGTTCGGATCCACTGCAACTCCCTCAGCATAAATAACATGCCCAAGAAACTTCACAGACTTGAGCCAGAACTCACATTTGGAAGGCTTTGCATACAGCTTCTTCACCTTCAGCACTTGCAGAACAGTTCTCAAATGCCCCACATGCTCCTCCTCCGTCTTGGAGTAAATCAAAATATCGTCAATGAAGACGATCACAAACTGATCCAGGTACGGCTGGAAAATCCGGTTCATGTAATCCATGAACACAGCAGGTGCATTGGTGAGACCGAACGGAATCACCAAGTACTCAAAATGACCATATCTCGAGCGAAAAGCGGTCTTCGGGACATCCTCCGGCTTCACCCGAATCTGATGGTATCCGGACCGGAGATCAATCTTGGAATACACACAAGCACCCCTGAGCTGATCCAACAGATCATCAATCCGAGGAAGAGGATACTTGTTCTTGATTGTCACCTTGTTCAGCTGCCTGTAGTCGGTGCACAATCGCATTGTCCCGTCCTTCTTCTTCACGAAGATAACCGGTGCTCCCCAAGGAGACACACTTGGTCTAATGAAGTCTTTCGCTGAAAGATCCTCAATATGCTTCTTCAGCTCTGCCAACTCCGGTGGCGACATCCGGTATGGAGCTAAAGAGATCGGCCCCACACCAGGCAACAGATCTATGGAGAACTCTATCTCCCTCTGTGGCGGAAACTCAGGAATATCCTCAGGAAACACCTCGAGGAATTCCCTCACCACAGGAATGTCGGTGATGTCCTCCTGGGTACCACTCACCAAACCTCCCAACATGACATAACCGAATGCCCCTGCTCTCAAGGCTCTCCTAGCCTGCAGCAACGAAATGTACGGCGAGGAACTGGCTGTGGAATCACACGGAGACAACACTACACGCTTGGCACAACAGTCAATCATCACACAATTTCTGGATAGCCAATCCAAACCCAGAAAACCTCCAAGTTGGCCATCGGCAATCCTATCAGATCCACCGAGAACTCACGGCCATCCCACTGAAACGCCACATCGCGATGAACAGTGGTAGCATCATATCTTTCTCCGGTGGCGGTAGTCACCCGCATCGGTGGAGAAAGCACATCACTAGGCAACTCAAGCCCCACAGCAATCGGGGTAGCAACAAAAGAATGCGTAGCCCCAGAGTCAAACAACATATACACAGTTGATGAACCAATCGTAACAGTACCTCTGACAAGGTTCGGAGCTCGATCCGACTGCTGACGATACAGAGTATAAACTCTCCCAGAAGATGGTGGCACTGCCGGTGCCGAGGCAGGTGGAAGGGGAACCATCTGAAGTGGCACTGCCTGCACTGCAGTAACCCTCGTCGTCGCCGACGGACAATCTCTGGAGAGGTGGCCCTCCTTGCCACACTGAAAGCAAATCAACTGGCCGGTAGAACACGGCCCAAAATGAGTCTTCCCGCATCCCGAACACCTGGGAGCAGGAGGTCTCGCTGCACTCCCCTGAGCAGAAGTCCTCTTGAACTGACTCGGCGCCTGCCGAGCTGCCAACGGTTTACCCTTGCCCTTGTTCCCAAACTTCCGGTTTCGCCAAGAAGTGGAACTACCAGCTGCAACCTTCGTCGCCTCAGCAACCTTGGCCCTCTTGGCCTTACTCGAGCTGTGGTAATCTTCAATATCACGACACTGTTGAACCAGTGTCCCAAAATCTCTAGAAGCAGAACCAGCTAGGTAACCAGCAATATCCTCACTAAGTCCCCTGCGGAACTTAGCAGCCAGAAATGTAGGAGTAGGCCTCGCCATCCTGAAGTGTGCAAACTTCACCAACTGGTTGAACTTGGCCAGGTACTCGTCCACAGACAACGAGCCCTGAACCAATCTGTCAAACTCTCCCTGCTGCCTCTCCTGAGCGTCATATGGAAAGTATTGACCCAAGAAGAAATCCTCGAACATAGGCCAAGTCATCACATGACCCTGCATCTCGTAGACATGAGAAAGGTTTGTCCACCACTCATGGGCATCGCCCTCCAGCATGTAAGTAGCGAACATCAACTTCTGCGGATCTGTGCACTGCATGACCCGAAATATCTTGTCCAACGCCTGAAGCCAACGTGCAGCAGCAACAGGATCAAAGGATCCATCAAAGGCAGGTGGCTTATGCTTACGAAAAGCATTCAGCCGGCGATCGATCTCATCACGATCCTCAACAAAAACAGGGACGGTCTGCATGGCCCCTGTAAGATGACTGCCATCTCCCATCTGACTCTGAGAGTCATCCTGCAGACTGGGTGGAGGTGGTGGTGGTGGAGGTGGTGGCGGAGGAACATGGCCAACAGTAGGACCATTCCTCATCTCCTCCAACATGACTCTAAACATCGTCATGTTCGCCAGACGGTTGGCCTCCAACACGTCCTCAGTGGCCTTCCTGTTCGCCTCTCTGACGGCGTCCAACATGGCCTGGTTTGCCATTCTCATGGCCTCCTGGTCGGCTAGTCGGGCCGCCTGCATCTCAGCCAATGCAGCCAGGACAGGATCGGGCCGATCCTCCGAAGTCTCGCAGTTTCTCCCGGGTCTTACCATGACTCTGCACAAGTTACACAAATTATGAGTTGATCAGGCCCACGCAATGTGGTCACATATGCATTATCATAATAATACTCGACGGAGCAAACACACAAAACAGACACAACCAAACATCCTAATCATTACAATACATACAGACTTTTCCCTTGAACCGTTGCTCTGATACCATAAAATGTAACACCCCGTGTATACTCGGAATATTAACATTACATCGTATTAAGCGGTGCTTAATTAAAAATCGCGGAATATACTTTTTCTTTTCAATTATGACGTCATTATCAATTACCAACTTGATTACTTAATCAATTTCATAAAATATCGCCTGTATGTAAATTGCAATAAGACATCTACTGAAATACCTCAATATATAAATAAAGTGTGTATCTAAATCACGGTATTACATCTCGTAATCCGGACAATATCCTGATACATTATTACAACTTCAAAAGGCGCAAGACATAAATAAGACATAACAATACTATGTGTCATGGACAATCCCCATGCTAACCAAATAAGCATAGTAAACAACAAGTCTCAACATAAAACTCCATAAACATAACTGAAGCTATAAGCATAAACAGCATGCAAATCCAGCATCCAATCATGGCAGCATAATATAACAGCAATCTAACTCAGCTCCGGCCTCCTGCCGCCTGAGGTCTCAACATTACCTGACCCTGAAATAAGCATTCCCCAAACGTGGGGTGAGATCTCTAAACTAGAAATCTCAGTAAGACAAGGGGTCCTCAAGGATCTTCCACCCCAAGCACACTTACATGTGCAATATAAGTTCTAAAAGCATTTATATCATTATCAGTTCCAAAACTATGTAGTGCAACAAATATCTATGGCATGTGTGTAATCACTATCTACTGGCCAGAGAAATGTAGGAATACGTCTATTCCCTACATGTAGTACAAGGAACACCGCTTGCACCTCACCCACAGCCTCACCCTCTTGTATGTCCTACATACTCAGGCTTACCGTATAGGTGGAACACCTCCATGCATATCAACAAGGCACTAACATATAATAGCTCAACAACATTTCCAAAACATCAAAATCATGTAACACAGCATGCATATACCATATCCCCATGGGACATGGTGGAACCACAACATGGCTAAACCGAGGACACGAAAGCTTACCTCTAAGCTAGCTATCCAAGCCAAGAGTCCACACAAGCTCAAAGTCCAAACAGAGCAGAATCACAATCTGTTTTAGACCAACAATTATATCAATAATCACATTCTAATATTTACAATGTTTAACTAGACATCTTGAGATTTCCAACAATATACTTTATGTCTCAATCGGAGTTGTATAACTCCGGTTATGATTTACGCAAGGTGACTGCTGCAAACGGAATTTCCAGCAACCAAAACGCGACTTAAAATAGACACTGCGATCAAACCACTGATCTAATGGCTACAAAATTTACAGAGTTGTATCCCTATGTGTTAGCTTCACATAGGTCCAAACCTCACTCAATTTAGAGCTCTGTAGCTCGAGATATCTCAATTTTACTAAACTAGGTCGTTGCTGTCACATTTGCACAAAACAGGTTTCTGGTCATTTTCACAGGTGGTAATCGATTACCAAGTACTGGTAATCGATTACTGCACATGGTAATCGATTACCACCAGCAAGGTAATCGATTACCACACATGGTAACCGATTACCAATCAAAAGTAATCGATTACCACGCGGGCAGAACAGCATTATGCAGATTTTTTCTGCATAATCCGAAGCCAAATTGCCATCCCATGACCCAAGGTCCGGTCTTGACCCAAAACAGAAGTTCAATACCACATTTTAGACTTAGATTAACAACCTTAAGCTTGAAAGATTAAAGTTAACTCATTTTATAACATAAACCAGCCATTTTCATGAAAATTCAAAGGAAAGTTCAAGGTATACCAATGGAGGTTCAAACTCAGCCACAAGGAAGGCTCTTGGAGCTCTCCAACAAGGTTCAAAGATTCTGACTTGAACACAAAACGGAAATGCCAACAAAGCTTGGCCCTTTCTTCACAAAGGAAGCTCCTTGGAGCTCAAAATGCCATTACAATGGCTCAACAACTCCAACCTCCAAAGTCAGCACCAAAAGCACCCCAAAACAACTCACCAACTCAGAAACCAAGCCTCTCACACAACCACAAGGTGTTTACAAGGAAGAATCAAGAGAAAAGATGATCATTTGGTGGTTTCTCATGAAGAAATGGTGAAGACAAGCCAAAGAAGCACCAAGTCAGCAATGGAATAGTGTAAACTGATCAGCCCCCAAAGGTGTTCACGTAGGAATGAGGTTCTAGGGTTTTGTGCCCACTTAATGAGTGTATTTATAGCCAAAACCCACTTAAACTCACAGTATTAACTTTAATTGCTACGCTTAGCATTTTAATCCCAAACTTTGGATTCTGAAACTACATAATTTTCTAAGATTTATCATATTTTTCTTATGATTTTCTGAGCAACTTTCCGGTACGCGCTTTTCAAAGCCAGTACCGGTTTCTAGCACCAGTTCTCATCATTTGGACTTGAAACTCGTTTTACAAGTCCTACATGTTATTCTAGTAATTATCATGTACTTACTTTAATTTTCCGGGATACTTTTTCGGTATGCATTTATACCGACTAGCAGAACCGGTATCTGCACTTTTCTTCCGAAAAGCGACTTTCAGCATTCTTAATCACTTATCATAATTATTAAAGTCTCTTAATAATTATTAGGGTCGATTATGGAATCATTTCCTATTTTCACATAATTAATTAATTAAATACCTTAATTAACGGTGTGGGTTCTTACATTGCTCTATATGTTGATGATCTGATTTTCTTGGGTAATGATGAAGGGATGATTCAAGACTTTAAGAAGAAAATGATGAAGGAGTTCGAGATGACGGATCTCGGTCTGATGAGGTACTTTCTTGGTCTGGAGGTCAGACAAGATAAATCTGGGATCTTCGTCTCTCAGGAAGCCTATGCAAAAGGACTTCTAGAGAAGTTTAAAATGACAGACTGCAACCCGGTTTCAACGCCAACGGAACCCAGGTTGAAACTTTCGAAGTATGATGGAGGAGAGATAGTTGATCCGAGTTACTACCGGAGTCTAGTTGGAAGTCTGAGATATTTGACGTGTACGAGGCCGGATCTGTGTCTGAGTGTTGGAATCATAAGTCGATTTATGGAAGACCCGGGGTACACTCACTGGAAGGCGGCTAAGAGAATTCTGAGATATGTGAAGGAAACAACCTCACAAGGACTTCATTACTCGAAGTCGGACAAATACAAGTTGACGGGTTATTCAGACAGTGATTGGTGCAGAGATGTTGATGATAGAAAGAGCACGGCTGGCTATGTGTTTTTCATGGGAAACACGGCTTTCACGTGGGTGTCAAAGAAGGAACCCATTGTGACCCTGTCTACATGTGAAGCTGAGTATGTTGCGGCATCTTGGTGTGTTTGCCATGCAATATGGCTAAGGAATTTACTAAGCAAGCTGGAGCAAGGGCAAGTCGGTGCAACCGAAATCCGAGTTGACAACAAGTCTGCAATCGAGTTAGCAAAGAACCCGGTCAATCATGAGAGGAGTAAGCATATTGATGTCAGGTTTCATTTCATCCGAGATCAAGTCAAAGAAGGAGAAGTGGAGCTGACTCATGTTGCAAGCCGAGATCAAGTTGGAGATATTTTTACAAAGCCCCTGCCGACGTTGTTGTTTGAAAATTGCAAGAAGAAGATGGGAATGAAGGATGGTAGAGATATTAAAGTTTAAGGAGGAGTTTTGTTGGGTTTTAAACTTTATTTGAATAAAAGAAAATAGAAAATGAAAGGTTTTTTTGGTGAAGAGGTGTGTATCTTAGGAATTTGTTAGTGGACATTAATGTGTTTAAAGTTTCTAAGAAGTAGTCATTAATGTGTTTAGATTTCCTAAGTTAGTCATTAGTATTTCTAGTTATTTGCTATTGCTTTTAAATAGTACCATGTAAATCATTTGAATGTAAAAAAAAAAGGCTTGAATGTTAAAAGATATACAAAGAGGTATATTCAGAGAACTCCTTGTGTGTTTGAAGTGTTTGAGAGAAACACCATTAGAGGACCTGTGATTCACAGGCTTGGGGAGAAGAGGAAGGAAGAATAATTATTGAGCTCAAGTCAGATTCTGCAAGCAAGGGAAATCCTCATCAAATCAAAGGGGTGAAGGAGGGACATGAAACTACAGAAAATCCTACACCTCTTGCTCAATGCTAATCAACCGAACCATGAAAGGAAAGAATGAAAACTTGATGATCGTTGTCCTCTTATGTAGCTGACGGTTTGTGAGGAATAGGGAGGAGGAATTTAACATGCAAGCTTGAGAGGGGAATAGTGTGCTTGGTACTTTGCTGTCTCCTTTTGAACTCACGGTTAGTGGGAGGGATAATGTGGGAGAGGATACAAGCGTGATTTGTGGTGTGCCTCTTGGAGGGTTTACGGTTATGAGGGGCATTAGGGAAACTAAGCATGATTCTGATTCAAGGATGAATAATCCATTTTCTTGGGGTATTCCTTTATTATGCGCATGGAGTGCAAGGGAATAAGGTGGGACTGAGTTTGATGCAAGAGAATGAGATAGGAGTTCAGCTTGTAGTTCTTTCAAGTTTGCGCATTGGGAGAGAGGATAGATGGATAAGAGATTGTCTTTTGACCAATGGTGAGACATACATGCATATTTTGGTTTTGGGATAAGCTAAGGATTATGAGTGGAGGAATATTGGGCTGACTTAACCCCAATTTACAAACTTGGCCGTGGCCCATGAGGGAAATTAGACTCAATAGTTTACCTAAGCCATATTATTTCATGTAGCTATAAGTTGTGACTAGAGTTTTCATAAAGAGTACTTAAAAGTATTCCCATCTTACACATACTTGGGCTTTTAATTCATGATATGCATTCACCTCCACCATGGTATTTTAAATAATTCCTAAGGGGTCACTTATCACATTGTAATATGTTATTAATTATTATTTCAAGTTCCCACAAGGTAGTGACTAGGGTTTCTAAATAAATTATAATTAGACTCAATGCTCTCCTTTCTTAACTAGTGTTTTGAATTTTTAAATTACATAAATATTCGCTTAATATTTCCATTAAAATAATTTTCCTAATTAAATTAATTTTACTCTTCACAAAAATTAAATTCGAGTTTCAAGCATGCTACACACCCCTAATTACAAGTTATGTGATTTCCTAATTTTTGCAGGATGTTACACTCTCCCCACCAAATTTGAAGTTTGTCCCCAAACTTTGTCCTACCATTCCCATACTATTCCAGTTGGCAGCCAAACAAAATTACATTAGAGTAAGACCTTAGATCACATTCAGCTGGCATCTATAACAGTCATCAATTAATTCAGGGTATTACAAACAAATCGTACTTTACAAGTTCATTAGATAATATATAATAAAATCATACTTGTACGAAAGGAAATAAAAACTTTCCTAAGCATAATCATAAATAAACAATTGTCTGGTTCTCTTTAAACAACATCAAATTCATACTGCAACAGGGACGGAGTAAAACCAATATATAATCTTAATCAACGAAGAACTCCAGTTATCCCTAAATCATAATAAGGCTCAGGGCTGTATTACAAAATTAGTTGGCAACTAACAAATCCATTTGTACAATATTTCTTCACTATATAAATTTTATACTTGATGGTTGACAGAAAAAAAACAACCACCTAGGTCTCCTAATTCATGGTCTCCTTTAGGACCTAAAAAAGAAAAATCCTATTCCATGCCTGTATACATTTGAGGTTATCCCTTAACATTATTTTTCATGCTCCTTGTTTCTTATGCGTGTCCTTACCGTTAACCTGCCATTCTCTTACTGATACACCTGCTATTCTTACTACAATTAAAAGACACATCATTATCTACCAGATAGTTCTATATTTTTATGCATCATTGCTAGAAATTAATTCAGTGCACACGGTTACTTTCCAACCGACAATCCCAAATTAGACCATTTTAACACAACTGAATATACCTGCCTATTACTCGTGCAGTCAGAAGACTAATTATCTGAGACCTTCCCTAACACTCATTTTATCTTTGCAGTTGACTTGATACAATTTAGAATTTCACCCACTTCCTACTTACTCCTTACATATGAAAAAATTCAATTCAATAAACACTTCACAACTAATTACCTGACTTGACAACCATCACAAGTAGAATTCCACAAATCAATAGTCTACAGAACAACGAGTAAGTAAAACAGAATGCATCATATTCCAATTTACAATGTAGAGGGGTCTTCGTAAAATCACAGAATTTCATCACAGACAGAATTTTAGTAAATGTTTTTATTTTCTAAAGATCTTAATCCATCACTATTGGGGTATAAAATTTTAACAACATCAATTAAGTTAACAGCACATTATTTGCTACTATCTTGCGGAAACGGAATTACATTAATGAGTACTGCTTTTGTCTAGAGCTTAGGGTTTAGGGGACACCTCTAATTAAACTCTAACTACGAAGTTGAATTAAGGACACGAGTAAGGATACCTAGATTCCAAGATACTAACTTCTAATTGCCATAATTACAAGAGATGTTAGGCTTGTTTGTTTATTCTGTAGCTACTGTCTAATATTTTTCTAAAATCAAATGTAACCAAATCTATCCTTTTACAACGTACTCAACAAATCAGGATACCAAGCAGTCATGTATGCAATTAATTAATTCTAGCATGCTCTTCGTACATATCACGTACGGTGGTACCTCTCATACAGTTTGTCAAAACACCCATGTTAGGAAACTTTCTCGAGCTTTCCGTTGTCCTAGGTACCTAGGATGTAATTGACTCCACTGATCAGAAGATCCATTAACTATGATATGACATACTTTCCAATCATTATACACATCACAATTTAAACAGCTACCAATTATAATCCATCACAAAAACCAGGCTTTCATAATTCACATGCACAATAACCACATTCAACATCTTAATTGCAGTTAAATATCCCTTTAAAGTGGAAAATAATAACAAAAGGAAAAATACAGTCACTGACAAAGCTATACTTTTCACAACAAACTCGGTTCTCATACTCTTCCTAGCATATACTATACATCAAATTCATTTTCCAACAGAAAAGAGGGTTCCTACATTCAAATACTCAAAACAAAAGGATTAACACACCAGACTCCCAAATTACAAGAGTTTTCATGAAGCAGTTAGACTAAAACAGCACATACGCATTAAGATCATGAAACACATATAATTTCTTGAGCACAGCACCCAAACCGATTTGAACTAAGCAATACTACTATAGAGTTCACATTCTAGACGGTTAAAACAATTTAAGCAATTCATAAACTCAAATTCTGATATCTTACCAAAAATTCAATTTCAAATACTTCTTTTTAATTGCTACACCCAACAAACTGATACCCAAAGCTAATAATATATTTTCATAATTTCAATTTATCAAACTGAAGACTCCTCATTAAATTTCTATCCTAACAAGCCAATACCAAGATAAAGTTTTCATGTATTTAATTTATCAAACAGAGATCACTCACTTTTAATACAACTTAAACATCAATTCATTACTAAGTCCACTTATATGGTTCTACAATTTTAGTTTCTTTGTTCCGATTATTCAAGTCATTCCCTAGATTAGATTCTCACATAATTTCAAACATATGTACCAAAACCACTAAACAAAACTTTTTCATTAATTGATTCTCGGTGTTTGAGAGTTTGATACTACCGTGTTACCGAAGAATGTGTTGGCCAGACCCATTCCTAGTCACAGCTGGAGTATCACCTCATCACACACTGGGAATCGGCAAATTCCATACTTCATTATTCATTCGTCATTCAGGCATTAACCAATTACAATCTGCTACACATCAGACTTCTCTCTTGAAGAGGTTTTCGTGTCTCATAAATACTAATTCTACCTTCGTCATGCCAAGCAACGAGCGGATCCTACTCACTGCATGACATACACGACAGTAGTCTCAAGATTGAGACACGGTTCCCACTTCAGGATAGAATCTCAGATAATCCGTTATACAATTAGTCTATTCAAACATTTCAATCCAACTGCAACATAGTACAGTCAGACAACTCTTGCGCCATGTAGTAACAGCAACAGTTCAAGTCAAATAATTCAATGCAGCGAATGGACATCACAACCGAACAAGGCATATAATAAAACAGAACACAGTATGCAGCAACCCGAACAACATCAATAATATCAACAACAAACTAGTCAATCAATTGAACAGGTCAAACTCAATTTCTAAACCAGGCTATACGTATTTCTGCACAACTGACCTCTACTTATAAAGTCAACAACAAGGTAAATCCATACAATACTGTCTACATCTCAGAAAACCAAACAATATCTCACACAATTCTCAAGAATTAAAACTGCTCCGAGTAATAAATTTCAAACTGCTTTAAGTAAACAACGCCACAAAGTGATTTCAGTGTATTCCAGAATAATTCTAATATTTCAATTATACTAACTCTCACAATTTAACAAAATAATTCAGCACGTGCCAATCTTGATTCAAACAGTACAGTAATTTTTATGCTCACATTCAGCAGCTAGCAAACAGTTCAGCAGCTATATTCAAACAACAAGGATTCAACAAACATATACAATCAGCAAACAATTCAACAACAATACACACATACCATGAATCAAAACTGCTCTGATACCATTTAGTGTGACACCCTCCCTTGTATGCATCCAAGGGAAGAGTCTGCTAAAACTGATTAGAGACGTAACGTTGACGTGTAAAATTCTTGTATTTCTAAAAACAATTTGATGTTACCAATTAAAATCTTGCTTGGAAAACTGACTTCACAAAATAAAAGCAGCAACTAAATTTTTGGAAAGGCTGTCGTTGCGCAACTCTGATTTTTCTTGAAAACAGCCTGTCTTGCAAAAATCATGTAAATTCGAAATCAACAGCTTAAAAACATATTCTTTGACATATAGAAACTAGACATCTGGGGCTTCGCGTACATATAAATTATAAGCGAATCGGAGGTGAATAGCACCACGAAACAGAACTCGCAAGGTACTTAAAAATTCATTGTATTTTTCCAGAAACCTCCTGACTTGTAAAAATCATAATAAATCGGAATTTTAGAATTCATTGTAAAGTTTATATAATCTGAAAGTACACAATTGGGGCTTTACGTACATAAGAATTATACCTCATTCGGAGGTCTGTAGCCCCAGAACGACAACTCGTAGAGTGCTCGCAAAACAGTTCAAAAATCCTAATTTAAGTACAACAGCAATTCTTTTCTCGAACTAATTACTAGAATTATAAACATCATGCTACAATTCTTTTCAAAACAGAATATACATCATGGCATGCCATTCTTTAAGAAACTACATCAAGGTCAAATATTCAGAATACACTCAACAGAGACAGCGAGCAAACAGCAAGGTTGTCAACAACATAATTTAACAGAATTGTCATGTCATCAAACACTTCCTCAAATGCTTCTAAGTCCGCCTGCAATTTATAAAAATTGAGCCCCCGAAGGGATGAGAAAAATCCCAGTAGTGTGGCAATAAAACCAATAATGCAACAATATTAAACTAAGCACAGAATTCCAAAACAGTCGCATCAACATTAAAATTTCGTACAGCTGTTAATCATCATCTTATTGCGTATATAACGCCATGGTCATGTACATTCATAATAGTCATGTTAGTGCGTATATAACGCCATTTCCTTGTACGCTCATAGCACCGTCGTACACGTACTAATATACACAATGGATATTCCATAATGGCTCCTCAAAGGTGAATTCCAACTGTGGCCTATGCGGACGGAAGCCAAGTGTCCCATACCCTGGTACCGAACGGATGCCTATATGATGCGTGCTCAAACGTATGCATTTTTATATAAATATTCTAGTCCATGAGCAGCATGAAATTCGTGCATGTATGCCATGATATGCTTCACACACAAACAAGAAACAAATGAATTATGAGGTGTATATGCGTGACTAGATCATCATCATAATATCATATATTTCATGTACTTTCAGTACCAAATTGCCACATAACAATTACTTCTCATAACAGAATTTTCCATCTTGTCACATTCATAGGCAGCATACATAGAGCATATAACAACACATTAATCCAAGGCACGTGTGAGCAACAATTCACAATTCTATACGCTAGCTAATAGTCACATTAGGTAATACGACCAAACACTTACCTCGAGTCTTTAACATTTTTAATCAAAACATCACCAATCAGCCCACTCTTTTAGAGGTTAGCACACCTAACAAACATATGTACCAAGTCAGAATTCATCACATATATTTCCTATACATTACATAGCTTCCCCATTCTCCTAAATCCTTAGTTTATAGTCGGTTTCCGGGTCAATATACCAAGCGAATTTTCTGCCATAATATTAATTTACCAATTGTCCTTAATTGACAAAATCCAAGGTATTCAATACATGCATGTTCGGTTTTCAATCATTACTAGGTGCTTAGCATATTTATTTTATCTCTTCTACACATTATATAGTGTTTTCCACCCTTCCTAGTACTTGGTTTATAATCAAATTTCAAAGCCCATAACTAGCAAATTTTTCAGATTTAAGAGTGCATTACTAATGGTTATCAGGATACTAAACCAATGTTTCTAACACATGTAGGTCCGGTTCTTTAGCCATCAACAAGTCGCTTATAATTTATTATTTTACATGGCATGTCCTACAAGCATATGAGTATACTAATGAGACCTTCATGATTCTTACACTAAACTAATTTTCTGGCTCATATTAATCTGCCCACTCGTTAACAGTACTAGAATTTAAGGTTTTCTATGCATACCATTTCGGTTTGCAACCATCCACAAGGTGTATCAAATTCTTATTTACCTAACACTTTCTACAAGACTTAGGAGGCGATGAAGAGTCTTTACTATTCTGTCCAATTAATTATTACTACATGCAAAGCTAGGTTCATAAATTAATCCAAGGAAACAGGCCTACAAATTAAAGAGAGCTATTTCCATGCTCACATGTCAAATTATTTTGTGCTTGCAAGCACCATGACCAATGCTTGTTCGTATGAGCAGAATCAAGGGAAAATGCCAAAACAAAAGAAACTTTCTTCCTAGGATATCTATGCCCACCGAAACAGGGACGGAGAAGGGAGGTTTGAGATGGACTTACATCTTCTTGCAGACACACAAACGGTCACCAAGCAGTCAAGGATCAGCCTTTTCCCCCCTCCCTATGCTCCACGAAATAGAATCCAGTTACTCCCTCTTGTGCTGGCTATGTGCACAAGGAACAGAATGGCAGTGAGAGTATAACTTCAATCTACATGCAGAAGGCCCTCCATCAAAGCGAAGAGAATAAGGAGAAACAAGGGAGTAAAGCAAATGCAATACCTCCGTGCTTGGGGATCATTGACCGAACAAGAGAAAGAAGGAAGAGACTGCTTGGATGTTTTGCTCCTTCTCATAGAACTCACGGCTTGGGGAGAAGAGGAAGGAAGAATAATTATTGAGCTCAAGTCAGATTCTGCATGCAAGGGAAATCCTCATCAAATCAAAGGGGTGAAGGAGGGACATGAAACTACAGAAAATCCTACACCTCTTGCTCAATGCAAATCAGCCGAACCATGAAAGGAAAGAATGAAAACTTGATGATCGTTGTCCTCTTATGTAGCTGACGGTTTGTGAGGAATAGGGAGGAGGAATTTAACATGCAAGCTTTGGGTTCTTCTCTAGCTGGTCTACGGTCTTGAAAGGGGAATAGTGTGCTTGGTACTTTGCTGTCTCCTTGTGGACTCACGGTTAGTGGGAGGGATAATGTGGGAGAGGATACCAGCGTGATTTGTGGTGTGCCTCTTGGAGGGTTTACGGTTGTGAGGGGCATTAGGGAAACTAAGCATGATTCTGATTCAAGGATGAACAGTCCATTTTCTTGGGGTATTCCTTTATTATGCGCATGGAGTGCAAGGGAATAAGGTGGGACTGAGTTTGATTCAAGAGAGATAGGAGTTCAGCTTGTAGTTCTTTCAAGTTTGCGCATTGGGAGAGAGGATAGATGGATAAGAGATTGTCTCTTGACCAATGGTGAGACATACATGCATATTTTGGTTTTGGGATAAGCTAAGGATTATGAGTGGAGGAATATTGGGTTGACTTAACCCCAATTTACAAACTTGGCCGTGGCCCATGAAGGAAATTAGACTCAATAGTTTACCTAAGCCATATTATTTCATGTAGCTATAAGTTGTGACTAGAGTTTTCATAAAGAGTACTTAAAAGTATTCCCATCTTACACATACTTGGGCTTTTAATTCATGATATGCATTCACCTCCACCATGGTATTTTAAATAATTCCTAAGTGGTCACTTATCACATTGTAATATGTTATTAATTATTATTTCAAGTTCCCACGAGGTAATGACTAGGGTTTCTAAATAAATTATAATTAGACTTAATACTCTCCCTTCTTAACTAGTGTTTTGAATTATTAAATTACATAAATATTCGCTTAATATTTCCATTAAAATAATTTTCCTAATTAAATTAATTCCACTCTACACATAAATTAAATTCGAGTTTCAAGCATGCTACACACCCCTAATTACAAGTTATGTGATTTCCTAATTTTTGCAGGATGTTACACATACAATCCTATCATATCATCATACAACCATACAACAATCTAATTACACAATCCTAACACAATTCCAAAACACAAAGTCATGGCATCCTCAAAATTTTCTAAAAGTTAAAAATCATATTTTTCATCAATGATTTTTATTGCATTTATGGCTCCTACACATCATTCTAAGTGCCTGTTTGGATCCTCTCTTTTTTAAGCTAGAAGCTACTTATAAGCAAAAGCTAGGCCAAACAGGTTTTGGGAAAAGCTCTTATAACGAAAAGCTCTTTATTTTATAATGAAGAAAAAAGCTGAAAACTAAAACCTCATAGGAGGAGCTTTTTTTTAAGCTCTTATCTGTTTTTCTTGAATTGTGTGCTTTTTTTTAAAATGAAGAGTGATAAAGATAGAGACAGAGATAATTTTCTTGAAATATGTGCTTTTAAATAATTTTTAAGCTAAAACTTTTATGTAATTTCCAAACAGCTTTTAGCTTCTTTTTTTAAGCTCTTTTTTTTAGCTTTAGCTTATAAGTAGCTTCTAGCTTAAAAATAAGAGGATCCAAACAGGCTCTAAGACACATTCATGTACAAACATTTTTCATTTGAGCTCTCTAACAACAAAAATCAACAAAATCCCCTTTAGGGTTCATGAAAATAAATCCTCAAATCAATCCATGAGAGGTGTTGAAACTTACCCACAATTACGTCACAAGGCTCCTCCAATTGATCCCCAAGCAATGGCTGGAGCAAACAACTTCAAAATCACAAAATCTCTCACAAAATTTGTGGCTGGTTTTGCCCATTATCTCTCAAATGAGAGGGTTTCAAGAAAAACTAATCAGTGGAACGGGTTCGGGAGGTGATTTCCATCGAAATTCAAGACAAGAATCGTCCGATTCGGTTAAAAATCGATGAAGTTAAGGGAGGAAGAAGATTTGAAAGCAAATTTTCATGGAGGAGGGAGGGAGCACGGTTTTGATGAGAGAGAAAGGAGAAAAGATGATGAATAGTGAGTCATGTCATGTGCTTGAAGGTCACTTAAGTGGGGTTGGTCCCACCGCCATCTCACGCGATTCAAATTAATTCAAATCTCTCGCCTATTCCACTAAACGTCCATAATTTTATAAACTATTTAGAAACTCTAATTTTTAACATTAACCATTGTCCTTTAATTGTCCTTGATCAAATGGATCCAGAGTTTTTCGATCGTTCGGAAAAATCGCAGTTTTACGCTGTTGCGCGCGCCGTAGGAACGTTTCCCCAAACTTGTTTATTTCCCTACATTTTCATCAGAAATCATATTTCCTAGTTCTATAAACCATTTATAACTTGTATTCAAAACTTAGAGCTCAAAACTCAATCGGCACGTTTTACGGTGCAACTGTACCGCGCTATTTTTACCCGGTAAAAATACTATTCACTGAATTTTCTGAAACTTGCCTAACCACTCAATTTTTTCTTTTGAATCCTTTTCCAGGGTTATTTTTATCATCTGAGACCTCCTACTCAATGTTTATCTTCCTAAGGTTGCGTGTTGGCTAATTACCGTTTTACCCTTTTTTATATTTTGGCCTAATTTCTAGGATTTTCACAATCCTTTCCTATAATTCTCATTTAATATTTTAATATTTGATTTAGAATTGCGAGGTGTTATAATCACCCCCCTTCTTTTAGAATCTTGTCCTCAAAATTAACCTCGTACTGGTCCATTGACTCGGGATATAACCAGGGAATCTCGTCCTTCCACTCTCAACTAGTCTCCTTAGGTGTGCATCTTTACAATTTTACTTTCGTCACATTCATAACCTCGTTTTTGTGGTATCCGTCGCTACCCAATCCTTCACAAAACTTGACAATTTCGGGGATCTGGCCTCTTAATTCACTATATTTTCACTGTTTCCATAGAATACGATTGCATTTTCGTTAATTTGTAGGTCATAATATACCCATTTTACAAACTTGTCTGTCTAATTTCACCTCATTTTCCTCTTTATCTATCTTTCTGACCCAATGTCGTTCCCAAAAGCCTCTAACCGTATTCATAATAGACTCTAATTGTTCTAATGTATATTTATTGATTATTCCTAGAATATTTCCAACTCACACTTTCTTTAGTTCTTACTCTTTTTGTTGTCCCTACTACTTCAACACTACCCCAATATACCGGTCATTTCCATTAATGTTACAATCTTACCATTTTGCTGTTGCCTTAGCTTTCACATACCTTCTAGTCTCAGTGGCACTCTACAGTACCCAATAATTCCAACTCACATTAAATTTCATATTTGCATACTTTACTTTACTTTGTCACATGTCTCCACATCTCTTAGATAATCACAACTACATTTTTCCCTTTGGGATACGAAGCTAACAATCCTCACAACAGCTCATACTCCATGCCAGTCATTTCAAGGTCTTCACCCACAAGTCCATTCATGAATCTTTCCATCTACAACATCATAATTTATAATTTACACTCCCTGTTAATCTATTTGTCATTTAACCATCTAACCTCTATTAATTTAGCCCTCTGAGAGACTAAACACAACATCTATCAATGGCTTCCACATTAAAGGCCTCATTCCTAATACTTTCACTAACTAACCATTTTTATCTTTTCATTCGATGTCAATGTTGTAATTCAAACATATGTTCCCCTTATTGGTACCTCAATTTCGTAATCATCGAGATGTCATGGATGTCCAACTCAAAATACTATATCATAATCCTCCTTTAAAAGTCTCATCATATTGGCAATTTCCAAACATATTCGTTCTATCACATGGAACTACTTTCATTCTTAACAATTTTCAAAATTTTATCAATAATTTGTATCTCAAAGGACCTATCTCTCACACTTAGCATGTATCACTACCGCACTCCAAAGCACTCTATCGAGCTATCAACCTTTCTTTAATCACCATAATTTAAGTTACTGATCCGTATTAGACATCTTCACTTAATTCATCACAACTAACTTCTTATGAAAGGCCATCAGGCCACCATCTTAATTGCACGGTTTTTTTTCCTCACTAGTCCTCCTCGCAAAACATTTACTCAATTATCAGTATTAACAAATTGCTATCCTATCTCATAGGGGTACGGACCCCTCGATCACTTCACAATTTCCGCGAAATCCAAAATCCATATCCCACACTTGGTACACACATATACAGATCCCCTAGTGCTCAGAACCATACCTCAAAATACTTTCTCATGACGCCTCACATATTATATCCCATTTGATATATTACTGTTCACTTAAATTTACCTGATATCATATCTTGTGTTCTTTACACGACATAATCCTCCCAATACAGTGGGTAAAAAAACATCCCCAGGTTAAAAAACCCTCGAGCTCTTGCTGTCCTAAGGGCCTCAGATGTAAATGACCCACCGATCAGAGAATCTACCCTTATTGATGAGGACATAGGAGGTGGCATGACCAAGACAACAAACTTGAAAGACATACAAGGTCTTGGAGGTCCAATGACAATAGCAAAAGCTAAAAAGGCTAAAGAGGCTCTAAATCTCTTGGTGACCACTTTACTTGAGACAAGCCCAAGTCTAAAGGAAGAAGAGCCCAAAATGATACACTTAATTCAAATTGAAGACTTTGAAGAATAAGCCTCAATGGATATGCATGAAGGCTTTATTTTTACTTGGCCCAAATTCTGCACTTAATTTTATTTTTCTTATATTCAGTTAAACTTTTGTAATAAGGCTTATTGGGCTGGATTATTGGGCTGTCTATTTTCTTTTATGTGTAAGCACTTTTAGGTTAAACTCAATATGGATGTTGCCCACTATATAAGGGAACATCATAGCTTTTGAAGGGGAATTAAGAATAAAAAGATAACCTTTTTTTGGTGAGAGACTAGCTTCTCTAGGGTTCTTTTGAGAATCTCAGAACTTATCAAGGTGTTAATCCTTGTGGCGTTCATAGGCTTATCAATCTTTGGATTGTAGCGTCATTTTTCGGTGATTCTTGAGTCAAAGTCGCGATTCAGAAAGAGATCTTTCACCTCGATTTGGAAACGTTCGATTCCGAGGTCTGTAGCGTGAGATACGCTCTGTTCTTAACAGGTCGTGTTGGTGGATGAATTTGGGGTTAGAATTTCCATTCCTAGTAGATCCATTCCTCCATTCCTATTGGGGATCATATCATGTGGTAATCAGAGCTCAGTTCTAGGATTGGAATTGGGTTTGATTTTCTCCATTGTTTCCATCAATTCTGATCACACATTTGGTAACCCTAATCCCTAGTATTTGTGTTTTTAATTTTGAATTGTGCAATTCTGTTTTTAGCATTTGTTGTTGGTTCCTAATTTGTTACTTTCATATTCTGTTTGTTTCAATTTCTTGTTGTGTTCATAATTTCTGCACTTGTGTTCTTAAGGTTCATCCTATGTTCATCATTGTTCCTGATTTTTAATCCTTTCGA